TACTGACAACATCCACAATATTGACAATATTTTTTAACTAAATTAATCACCAATTTTATGGTCATGTATTAAGGCCATCAACTCTAATCTAATCTTCAAGTAAGTGTATATGCATATATGAGTATGAGTATAAATATATAAGACAATTCCTAAACTAGACATAGGACCAAAGAATAAACAAATAAAAAACACCTCACCTTACCACAAGTGTTTCTGTGCACACACATATTAACTAAGAGCCCAAAGGCTGAATGTCTAAGCAGGAAGCTTGTTGCCTGAGCCTCTCCTCTCAAAGACTGTTTGAGGCATCACCTAGATTTTATCACTGATATCCATTTTCAGAGGGGGCCTTCGCTCAGTCTACAGGGACAGTGAGACGGCGGGGGTGGCAGGACTGCAGAGATAAGAATCGTTTTTGTCTCTGAGTGATGACCTTAGTCTGTGGGTCAGTTTGGAGGGGAAAGACTAGTGTGAGAGATTTCTCAAGTGAGGAACATGTTGTGAAGAGACCTGTGGTGTTCTGGGAGGGGTGTCAGGTTACCACCAGGAGTAGAAGGAGCTGGTGTTAATTGGAAACTTGAAAGTCCTTTGTAAAGCATTTCTTCAGGCTACGCCTCTTCCGCAGGTTCATCCACCCTTAACGACAGGAGGGTGACACCTGCCCTCCATTACAGCTGCCTGAGAGACTAATCGAGACTTGAGCGCTTGGCAGACAATCTCTAGGCTCTCAGACCACAGTATTGTGTCGCATAGAGGCTTCACACTAAAGAAAGACCAGGAAGTGGCTCTCCAGGACCATTGAGGTATTGAGGAAAATAAAGACAGGTAGAGTAGACATGAGGTAGAACCCACATGCCAAGAAACTTTATAGACACATTTCAGTATAGATGTAAGTCCAAAACCAGTGGGGCAGAAATAAAATAAAATAGTTTTAATTTAATTTATTTTTAATGCAATGTTTTTAATATACAGCTATGGTTAAAAAGGACATTAGTTTAAAAAATTTAATGACACTGATGAAGTAAACTAGTAAAAGATACTTTATGTCAACTAATAAACACACACAAAGTCCATCCACATGCCTTGACACCGGGGCTCATACAGCCATAATTGAGGTTGGAGTGAAAGTGAAGGTCATGAAAGCAGCGTTGGCACAGAAATAGTTATTACTGCTTGGCAATCTCGCCATTTATAAGTGCAGGAGTGAAGGAAACGCTTATTTTTACTCTCCACCTCTGCAAAAGAGCCACACAGGTGGCCTGTGAAATAAATGTCATGACATTTAATCACACTTTGCGGTGTTTAAGACTTAATTTATGCTTTTCCGCCCTTCGTAATGGACTTTTTCGAAGAAAAACAAGCAAATGCGAAGAAAAAGCAAGTAATAAGAGCCCATAAGTGGCTGTTAAAAATCAAATAGGCAGGATGGTGCTCCATTTTGAGGGAGAGGGGATATTCCTCTGTGCCTAGGACTGCTCATTTATAAAATATGCAGGCTTGGCCATGGCAACACTGTAAACTGCCCGTTTGCTCATTTAACAATGTCTGGGGAGAGAAGCTATCAGGTATTCATCTTTTGCCTCGCGCTCTTTTTCGCAGGGCCAGGATCCAAAGACAAGCCTAGCAGTCATAAATGCATATATGAATGAATAAAATCTCCAGTCAGTCAATACCTCTTCCTGCAAATGGCAATTTATCCCCGAGAAATGTCTTTTGAAGTCAGGGCTGCTTCTGTGACGCAGACACACTCTGTGGCAGTGAGCAGTGGTATAAATCAGTTTAACTTCAGCCACAGTGGAACGTGTGCCATTCTGGTTCAGAAATGAAAACTTTCTCCGACTTTGGTGGACGGCCAAATCTTATTTTGTTTGTCTACAGGGTAATAAAATGCAGCAAAAGGTCAAACTCAAGAATAGTCTCACTAGTCGTCATTTGTGCCTATTTTTTATGTACCGTACACAAATATGGATAACAATCTTGAACTTCAACACATTAACGAGGTCTTTGGAGTACACTACTGTTAACTAGATTGCAAAGATCCTTGGAACTAAAAAACACTTGATTACAATCAAGAGAGCTGAATTAATTTCACAATATTCTCCTTGACACTTCATTCACATTATATTTTTATTATATACTCAGTCACAATCCCTCAACTACGGTATTTTCACCAATGTTTGCCACCATGAACCCAGCCAACAGCCCAAATTTTAAAAAAATTAATTAATTAATTTCCAAGACACAAAATGAAACGCTATCCATCTTGCCTTTTTGAAAAAACAACGTAATCAGAGGGTAACGTTCAGGGTAATCTGTTAACCGCTAATTATAATCAGAGCATTTCCATAATGAAAACCAGACCCAACCGCTTATGCCGAAGAGCAAAGCCTCCTGGAATGCGTTCAAATGGTCCGTGAGCACGTATGTTTGGGGAAAGAGGTGAGGGAATGAGAAAAACCATAAAAGAAAATGACACTGAATTCAACAGTCAAATTACTGCTTTCCACTGATGGGCCCAGTTGGTAAAAGAACCACAACAATATCACCTTCAATTATCCATCCATTCATGGTCAAGTGAGGAGAATGTGCGGTGCCATTAAGAAATAACCTTGTGGCTGTTTGGCAGCAAATGGGGCACTTGAAGGATGAGAATCAAATCTTGGACCACTCCATTAAACCTCAAAACATTTCATTATCAGCCACTCCAGCTCCTGCTCAGATTGTCACTGTGCACTTAGCTCCCATCCAGAATCAAGGCCTCCAGCTTTATTTTTCAATTTGATTCCGATACATATCAGACAGTTGGAAGGGTGCTTGAGCAATCCTTCTAGTTTAGGCTTCTGGTGGAGAAGCAGTAAGGAGACTTGGAGGACACTGTAACATATCTCAACCATTTTGATCATCTCACCCCGACGTCTTCTTTATCTCCCATTTTTAGATCTAGGCAGGACATGGTGCTGTTGGCTTTTTATGATGATTAATACCCTCACGTCTTTGCTTTCTGATTTTTTTTCTGCTCCCTTCTACTATTTCTTTGAAAACCCATTACGGAAGAGCACAGCTAAAAGTGCATCCTTCACGGCCCCTACCAACTCCCCACAAAACAGGAGTCATGCGACAAGACAGACAACGTTTCTCAAGGAAAAAGAAAATAGGCGGAGGCTGCATTTATTAAGGCCCGACAAGGAATACATGAATAGATAAGTGGAAAACAGGTCTTCATCTTTAGAAACGGGAGCTCAAAGGGGGCCATGTTGATTTTCCTGCATTACCTGTCTTGGCTGTCACAGGCTCTGTGACATGAATCAGGCTGTGTGATGAATCACTTGGCTGATGTTAATCTGAGTAAGTTGAATGCATAAGCATACAGTGATGTGACCTGGCATTAGCCTGTAGATGGCATTAGCCTAAAAATTATACTTAATGAAGTATTGTGTTAAGAAATAAATACTGACAAAAAATAATACATTTGACAGAGACTAACAACTGTTATGGTACCAACACACATGTATCTCTTAAAAAATACTTCATTAGCCTAAATGCTTATTGTTTATGGTTGTTGTTTACATAACTTGCCATCAATCAAAAGTCACTATGAACAAATGTTTGGCAGAGAATTACAAATATTTTTATAGAAAGTTAAGGCTAAAATATTTTTACTGGAATTGAATTTTTAATTTTTTTATAAATATATTTGTGGTGTGTTGAATTATTCAGCTATTTTCCTCCGTATTTGTGACAGAGCACAGTGTCACTCATGGCATCATATACAAGATGAGAGAGACTCTGACTCGAAGTACACCTGCACTAGTCACGAAAACACAAACTCATCCTGATTTTGTTCTTCATATTTTTTGTTTTGTTGGCTTAATTCAAGGATAATTAAGTGCATGTCAAATAGGCATCCTAGATAAACTTATGATGATAAATTTTCAAATAAATAAATGTTTTATAAGATGCACAAGTCATGATTTTTTTATTTATTTGAGGGGGGAAAAGGGTCAGACTATAATTCTTATTTAATTTAAATCACACATTACGTTGCAGCTGATAATAAAATTATGGTGAGTACCTCTTGCCAAAGTCCATTTTAACCATTTCAGACCCTGTGTGCAGTCACAGGCATGCCTATATTGGCTATTCTATAATACATTTGAACATTCAACACATCAGATTTCAGACTTGAAACTATCAGTTTCAAACATGGTAATCCTGCTTAACTAAATAATACAGAAAAAAAGGTTCTAGTTCTCATTTTAATGTTATTTAGAATTTTGCAATGCCAACTGCAGCCATCATAGAGTCTGGAAACCATGAGGGAGACAACAGCAAAGAGACTCCAAAAAAAAAAAATATTGAAACTTAAAATGGAATTCACTTCCCACTGTATCCAAATTTCGCTTGGCAAACAGTAACAGCAGTCTGTTGATCCATGTTAAAACTGCACAGCAGAACACTGTAACTGAAATAGCAGCTGGTGTTTATGAGTTTGTGAGGTTTGACTCCCGTAACTGAAAGACTGATAGTCAAAAGGGAGCAGTCCTGTCTTCTTCTGACCTACAGCCATCCTCCATTTTGTTTAGTTTGTGCTTTTTTTAACACCTCCGTAGGGCCAACCGCCGGCCCGGGCCAAGTGCTCGATTTACAGCAAATGACAGCTTCTATATCAGAGATGACAGGCAGGTCTGCTGCTGTGCCTGACATTGATGAGACTCTGGAGACAAGGCAGTGTGATGGTGTCAGTCAATTCCATTCAGAAATCCACTCTGCAATGCGCTCGGCATTACAAACCCTTGGAGATAGCTGACGCTGAGGACATGTCATTTTTCTGAAACTTTATACAATGTTTTGGGTTTAAATGTGCTAAAGAATAGTTTTTTGGGGGGCCTTTTTTGCATAATTTGGAGCAGAGAAAAATAATAGCCCATGTCAAAAAAAAAAAGTTGGTTAATGTGAAATGAGAGTAGAAAATGTGTCCACATAAAAAGTTATTGTGACTGAAAGTTGGAGTTTTGGACCAACTCTTGAAGGGAAGCATTGTAAAAAATATTGACCAGGTTTTAATTTAATTAAGATGTATTAGGATGCGCTTTGTGAATTGTAACCTAAAATAAATCATAAAAAGCTTTCATTGTCAACAAATGCCTGATTACAGAGAATATCTGCAATGCACTCTTTAAGTGAGGTTTCCTGGGAAATGTCTGCAGCGAGCGACTACAACATTATGCGAGCAAAAATAACTTATTGACTGCTATTCAAATGTAGCCAGATTTTTACAGAAGTATAAAAACAAAACAAAAAAAACTGTTTCAATATATGCTGCAAAGGGTTCCAGTACAGAGTGATCAATCACATGGCATTTACAGCTTAGGTGACGGACTCAAAAAAAAATTTCTACTGAGTGGCCATGAAACAAAGATGCCAGCATCCAGATTGTGTGCCTGCGGGGCTGCCATTGAGGTGAATGGGAATAACGGATCGTTTTCTCCAGGTATTATAGAACTCCATGCCTGCACCACCTCCACCGAATCTGTAGTGCCACAGCAAAAAAAAAAAAAAACAGATAAACAAATAAAAATGCAAATGTGTAAGGTTAGTGAAAATAACTTAAGCACTACCGAAAGGAATTGCCAATGTTAATGTGGTTGGCTGGTCGAGATGCTCAAACAGCACAATTTTTAAAACCACAGAGTCACAATGTATACACTTTTATTGGAATCTACAAATGGCTTATAGCTGTTTCTGCATATTAAGCTAGAAAGATAGTAAAGTATTTAAACTTAAAGATATCTGTAAATAAATAAATACTTCTAATGAAAAAATGCATTAAAACAAAAGTCAAAATACTTTTCTTTTAATAACAATAATATTTTATTATTATTATTATTATTATTATTATTTAATAATTATTATTATTATTTAATAATAATATTAATTATAACTAACCCATAAATAAACAAACAATTGCAATAACAACAACAATTAATTTTATAATAATTATCTTATTACTATTACT